GTTCCAATCCGTCCCTTTAGAACAAACCACATCGAAAATTATGAAAATTCTTCGGTTTTCGGAACGTGCAATATTTTCTGTCACAAAATAAAATAAAAATGCTAGAGTCTTATGGGCACAAACTCAATCGCCCGTGTGGGGGCTGGTGTATTATCTCCATACCGGTTTAAGTAGGTGATAGAGTTTTAATACTTTACACTGATACGTGATGTAAATCTTTGGCATGGATAACAAAGAGGGAATAGCTCAGCAGATAATTTTGGAACCTGATTTGGTTCCTGTAGGGCAGGAACTATCCTCTATGTTACAAAACTTCTGAGACACGAGCCATCATGACGGTGTATTTGTGAGGACAGCGGGGGTATCATCTCACTGTATCGCAACACTCAAGGCTACTTGATAAACAACCAAACTCATGGCTTAATTATACTTTACGGCCAACAAGAACACAAAGACTCCATTCCCAAAAGCAACCAGTTGCGATACAAAATATTTGTGTTATCTTTCATTGGTGTTCCTTTCTCTAAATATTCCTTTCTTTAAAGCACATAGGAAGCAATTGTATCTTGATTCAATTCGCACATGGAACGGGCTGATGGAACGGGCAATTCAAGAAATACAGTTGTTGGTTCACAGCCTAAGCAGATTTTTATCAACCGGCCCAGAAATACTTTTATTGATCGAAAAGTTTCAATCATTTTTTCTTTTAATTGTAAAGTGTTAATATACATTCGTTCTTTATACGGTAGTCGAAAAAAGGTAAATCTGTTGGCTGTTGCACTTCTGCCTAAAACATAACGCTACAATTAATAAGTAACGATTTCAATAAATATATCACTAGGAAATAGACAAGCAAGCTTATGATTTCTGTGTTGTTTTTGGGGGTGGGGGAAGTGAAGAATAAAGTGAACGATGCACGCGGGTATATGGAGCATGGTGCGAGCGAGAGAGGGAATGAAGTATGAGAGAAACGACGAGTAGGGTATGATATGAGAGTGGAACTCGAAGATGGGAATGTATAGAGTAGCTGTGAACGAGTAGAGTGGGAATTAGAGAGGATCGAACGAGAGAGTGAATTAGAGAGAGCGGAGCAGTGTAGAGGGTATTGTTAGGGCGAGCGAGCTGGAGGGGGAATGAGAGAGAGACGCGGAACTCGTAGAGGATGGTTGAGAGTTTTTGAGCTATAGAGAGGGAAAGAGAGAGACGAGCTTCGAGAAGGGAATGAGAGACGAGAGAGCGAGATGATTTTCGAGAGAGAGTGCGAGCGCAGAGTGGGAATTGATAGATGCTGATGCGTAGAGGGAATGAGTAGAGAGCGAGCGAGAGAGGTGATTAGATGAGAGTGAACTGAGAGAGAAATAGAGAAAAGAGAAGCGAATTGCAGAGAGGCATGGAATGGAGAGAGAGCGAGCGAGAGAGGGAATGAGAGAAGAGCCGCGAGAAGGGAATGAGAGGAGGGCGAGCGAGCGAGAGAGGGAATTGAGAGAGTGAGCGAAGATTGGAATTGAGAAAGAGTAGACGCAGATGAGAGGGAATGTGATGAGAGCTATAGCGATATAGGGAATAGAAGAGTAGAGGAGTCGAGACGAGGGAATGGAAAGAGAGCGAGCGAGAGAGGGATTGAGTTAGAGAGCGAGCGGGAGAAGGGGAATGAAAGAGAGTGACGCGGAGAGAAATGGAATTTGAGAGAGAGAGCGAGTGAGAGAGGGAATTTGAGAGAGCAGACGACGCCGAGAGAAGGGAAGAGAGAGAGCGAGCCGAGAGAGGGATCGAGAAGAGACGGAGCGAGAGAGGGAGATGAAGACGGAGGTCGAGCGAGAGGGACCATTCAGAAGAATGTAAAGAGCGCGAGCGTAGAAAGTGTGTAATGAATTCACGACGAGAGATACGTATGAGAGGGAATGATAGAGAGAGCGAGAGAGAGAGTTGGAATGTCCCAGTAGTAGGGACATGAGAGAGAGCCGAGCGAGAGAGGGAATGAGAGAGAGTAGCGAGATTTGGGATAAGAGAGAGAAGAGAGAGAGAGCTGGGAGAGAGGAATTGAGAGGAAGAGTTCGAGTTCGGGGAGAAGTTTTGGGGAATGAAGAAGCCACGAGCGTGTCGGAGAGAGTGGAATGAGAGTGCGCGAGCGTGATAGAAGGTGGTGAAAGAGAGTCGGACGCCGCAGCGAGAGGAAGCGTAGCGGAGAGAGGAAAGTACGAGAGGCAGTACACAAGAGAGACAGGGGAATGAGAAGGAGCAAGGCGGGAAGAGAGGGAAATTGAGAGAGAGAGAGCAGTGAGAGGAGGGAATTCGAGAGGATGAGTGTAGCGGATCATCGGGAATTGAGAGAGAGCGAACGAGAGAGGGAAGAGAGAGAAAGCAAAGCGAGAGGAGGGGAAGGAAGAGAGAGACCGAACGAGAGAGATTGAATTTTGAACGAGAGCAGGCGACGAGAAGGGAATTTGAGTTAGATAGAGCTTAAGACGAGAGAGGAGAGTGAGCGAACAGCAGAGAGGGAAATGAGAGAGAGCGAGCCGGGAGAGGGATATGCGAGAGAAGCGAGCACAGAGATGGGGATTGAGAGAGAGAGAAGAGAGAGAGATGAGCGAGAGATTGGAAATGACAGAGAGTGCGCGAGATTTGGGATGAGAGTGAGTCGTACGAGTAGAAGGGAATGAAGATAGGAGACAAGCGAAGATGAGAGAGAAATTGAGAAGAGAGCGAAACAGAGAAGAGGGAATTGGAGAGAGAGGAGACGAGAGATTGGGAATGGAGATAGATGAGCTAGAGTGAGAGAAGGGCACTTGAGAAGAGAGCGACACGAGAGAGGGAATTAGAGATAGAGAGAATGCGAAGAAGAGGGAATGGAATCAGAGTCGAGACGAGCAAAGAGGGGAATCGAGAGAGAGCGAGCAGGGAGAAGGGGTGAAGAGATAGCTTATGCGAGAGAGGGAATGAAGAAGAGCGGAGCGTAGAGGAGGTCGACATGAGTGAGAGGCGAGGATGAGGGGTGATTGAAAGATGTTTTTGAGCCGAGAGAAGGAATGAGAAGAGAGCGAGCGAGAGAGGGATATGAACGAGTAGACGATCGAGAAATGGGAATGAAGTAGAGTGTAAGTCGAGAGAAGAAGGAATGGAGAGAAGAGCGAGCGAGAGAGGGAATGTAGAGGCGTAGCGGTGACGGGAGAGGGATAATGAAGAAGGCGCGCGCGCACGCACGAGGGCACAATCGAGAGAAGGAATTGAGTAGATAGCGGCGATAGAGAGTGGATATGACGAAGAAGAGCTAGCGTCGAGTAGAGGGAACTGAGATAGAGCTAGCGGAGAGGGATTGAAAGAGCAGTGTAGGATGGATTTGGGAATAATGATGAGAGAGGAACGAGAGAGAGGGAATGAGAGAGAGCAAGCGAGGAGAGGGATTAGAGCGAGAAGCGACAGAGAGAGGGTAACTGAGCAAAGAGAGCTTAGAAGAGAAGTAGGTACCGAATGATGAAGAAGAGATACGAGAAAGAGGGAATGAAGGAAGAGATGCTATAATGCGAGAGAGGGAATGAGAGAGAGAGCTCAGCGAGAGTAGGGAATGTAAAGAGTAGCGCGACGGTATGCGGAAGAGATGCGAGCGAAATAGAGGGAATGAAAGAGAGATGAGACGAGAGATAGGAAATGGTTAGGAGAGAGCGGAAGGCGCAGGACGAGCAGGGCATATGGGAGATGAGCAGAGCGAGAAGAGGGAATGAAGTAAGATGTGAAAGAGTAGTCGAGAGTGAGGGATATCGAGAGAGCAGCGAGCGAGAGAGGGAATGAAAGAGAGTGAGCGAGAGAAGAATGAGAGAGAGAGCGAGCGAGAGAGGGAATGAGAGAGAGCGGAACGAGAAAGGGAATGAGAAGAGGACGCGTGATGAGAGGGAATGAGAGATGAGCGAGAACGAGAGAGGGAATGAGGAGTGAGCGAGAGGGGAATGAGAGAGAGCTGATGCGAGAGAGAGAAGGACGAGAGAGAGAGAGCGAGCCAGACCGAGAGAGGGAATTGAAGAGAGAGCGAGATCGAGAGAGGGAATTGAGCGCACGATGAAGAGAGCGAAGAGAGGGAATGAGAGAGAGCAATGCGAGAATGAGGTTGAAATTGAGAGAGAGCGAAGAGAGAAGGAATTGAGAGAGAGGAATGAGAGAGAGCGAACGAAGAGAGGGGATGAGAGAGGAGGCGATGAGAGAGGAATGGAGGAAGAGAAGCAGAGAAGGGATGAAGAGAGAGAGGCGAGCGAGAGGAAAAGAGGAGGCGAACGAGAAAGGAATGAAGAGAGAGCGAACGAGAGAGGGAATGAGAGAGAGCGAAAGAGAGGGAATTGAGAGAGCAAACGAGAGATGGAAGAGAGCGAGAGAGGAGGGAATGGAGAGCAGAATGAGAGAGAGCGAGCGAGAGAGGGAATGAGAGAGAGCGAACGAGAGAGGGAATGAGAGAGAGCGAACGAGAAGAGGGAATGAGAGGAGCGAAGAACGAGAGAAGGAAGAGAGAGATAGAATGAGTGAGAAGAGAGGGAATGAGAGAGAACGAGAATGAGAGAGGGAAGAGAGAGAGAGCGAAGCGAGAGAGTAAGAGGAATGAGAGAGAGCGAGCGAGAGAAGGAATGAGAGATAGCAGATAACGAGAGAGGGAAATGATAGAGACGAACGAGAGAGGGAAAGAGAGCGAGCGAGAGAGGGAATGAAAGAGAGCGAGCGAGAGAGGGAATGAGAGAGAGAGGGGGGGGGGAAGAAAGAGTGGGAGAGAGAGAGAGAGAATGGGAAAGGGAATGAGAGAGAGCGAGAAAGAGATTGGCGAGTGATAGTGAATTTAAGAGCAAGACCGCGAATGTAATGATACATGGCGAAGCAAAGAAGCAATCCTATGGACGTTTACGAACCAGGAAAGTATCCTACAGCTATTAAGGTACAAGGAAAAAAAGGATTTTATTCCCTGGGACGTGGCAACGGCGGCCACAGCCCCCATCCAGTTTCTGGGGAGAAAACAAGGCAGAATAATGCGCTCTAAAATATCTACATGTGAAGTGAAAGTGATCGAACGCATGGGTGATATCCTTGCAGAACATACTACCAGCACTCTTCAACTTTTTTCAGAAATTAAAAGTGGAACTGTAAAATTACTGAAAATATTAATACTACTGCAAGTTGTGCAAACAATAATTCCTTCATATGTAAACGGACAAGATCAGACGAAAAGGTACAGTGTCTTCTAAGTATTTAGTATCACATACCAAACACGTCCTTACAATTACTTAACGTATCTGCTGCAGATACACTGTATTTATATTTTGTTTTCATGATAGCACAAGTACATTGGTATGGTCAAGCTCCAGCGGCTGGGGATTGGAGGTTGACGACTGCAACAACACTCAACAACAGGCCTGCTACAACCCCATTGTCAGATACAACCTGCTCCTGCCCCCCGAGGACGCTCATCCACACGCCCCTAGGGAGGGGGAGGGACTCACTCTAACTGTCCTCAACCAAAGGAATGCTGCTGTCGTCTTTCACAAGGTAAGCCCACTTTGCTTTTCTCTCGCAAACCAATCACTGCTATACTCATCAACTGCGTCTGCTTAGCTCTCCAAGCCAGCCTTTCCCAATGCACAAACTCAATGACATAACGGAAACGGACACTCAATAACTTGTGCTGCTCCATAATGCAAATCCATCTTCGCAGTCAGGGACAATAGTCGTTACTAAGGAGCAAGGCGTTCGCGCAAGAAGCAAATCGAGCATACGCTAACAAAGCGAATTTCCACAGGTGTTCCCGCTCGGTCACTACTGGGCGCACTATGCTGACCTACAGTGGCACTTGGATCGCGTGGCACCCGGACGCATCCTCGTCCTCACGGTAGCCGTGTCTGGCGCCATGGGACTCCGCCAAGCAGCCCTCCAACTCGCTCGCCTCGGCTCCCTCTTCGCCTTGCACCTCACGCCCATGGCACACTGGACATGGGTCTTCGTCAAGGGCGGCCGCACCATTTCAGAGACGGTCATCCTTCAAGGACTAGCTCAACACCAGGCTCACCTTATTCTGCCTCTCTCCGATCTACCCACGCCCACTACTCCCTCCAATCAAACGCTGCAACAACAACGCTGGCACTACTGCCACCTGCACGCTGCCATGGGCGGACTTTGCGACGAGCACACTCCGGACCCGCTGCCGCCGCCCCCGCCGCCTACCCTCCCGCGCCAATCCGCCCTCGCCCATGTGCCCGTCGTGGTCACAGCCGGGGCCCGGCACCAGTACCTCTACCACACCCTCAATGCCCTCCTCACTGCCCCAGGGGCACAACGTAACAACGTCCTCGTCGTGCTTGGGGACGCACCACAGCCTACCACGCAACTGCTACGTCTCATCAACGTCAACTTCACCAAAGTTCCTGTTCTCGGGGAAGGCAACCTCAAGCTCTTCCGTTACTACCGTAGCGTCTTCCAACTGGTGGCTCGCACCTTCCCCGACGCCCCTGCAGTCATTTTCCTGGACGAGGACGTCGAGGTCTCCCCAGACTTCTTCTCCTACATGAGCCAGACTCTGTGGTTGCTCCGCGAGGACCCCACACTCTACTGCATCAACGGTTTCTCTGCAACAGGATTTGAAGGACGTGCATTCGACAAATCACAGGTAATTCGAGGATCCGTTCAAGTAGAGTGGGGTTATGCAGTTTCTCTCGACTTTGTTAGAGAAGCACTTGCATCCTGGATTGATGAAGTTAAACACATCTCTCTATGACTTTTGGCTGTATACAAATATACGGAAAGACCGTGAATGCGTGTTCCCTGAGGTGAGTCGGACGGCGGCACTTCGGAATGGGTACCAACACCGTCCCTTACCTCAAAGAGCCCGTTATCAGAATGCCCCTTCAGCGCGAGGCTCCAATCGTGCTTCACGATGTTGCTGCGTTAAAACTTCCTTCCTGGCAACAGCATATCACCCAGGAAATCAAGGATGCCACGGTGCTCACGGGCAACCCCTGTCGTGAAAGCTTCCTCCCTTCGCCGCCCACCGCCCGCTCCTACGTCTTCTACTATCGACTAGATTGGACCCCAAGTGGGCAAAGCGACATCTCCCAGTACCACAACGCAGCCATGTGTGTTGGGTTGTGGTCTCTCTCCGACCAGGGTCACCATCGCGGCGTCAGTGCAGTGCGATTCTCCCCCAATTCGACACTCTACCTGCTCGGTGTTCCTTATTCACATTATTCTCATCTATACACAAAAATCAAAGCCTTGTGGAATGTCGACCTCTTAAG